ATGGTGCCATTTTTCTCGGAGATTGTTTCGCTTATCATTTGTTTTTTACCACCTGTTTCCCTGATAAGCCTGAATAGTTGTCTGGTGTTGCCTATCGCCGATGCTTTTTCCATCTCTTTCGCCTTAGTCAACCACCACTGTTCACGGTCCTTGCGGAGACTTTTCGTAAGTTTCCTCTTGTGCAGCTTTCGCTCCTCATTGAATTCGGAGCTCGCCGGAATAAGTCTTCTAGCATCTATCAGTTCGGATGAGGCAGTCGAAATCCAATGGTTTTTACTCACCTTTGGATTTACCTTATTCACAGCTTTTACAGCTGTATCTATGGCTGACTGAATATTCTTCCAGGCTTCTTCAGGGTGAGCGCAGCTGTCAAACTCAGATATGTGTTTAGCTAGTTCTTCCTCAAATAGGGACTTAGTTCCCTGGTCGAGCTGGGGACGTGATGAGTTTACCGCTCGCTGTTTCCTACGTCCGTTCAGTCGTAAGCACACACGAGCGCGGACCAGTGCGTGATCGGTATCTACACACGTGTTCCAGAAGGAGCGACAATCTCCTACCGACCCACGCCAACGATAGCTTATTGCTATGTGGTCTATTTGTGTCCAGCGTTGATTTGATGATGGGGGTCGCCAGGTCAGACAGTGTCTCTCCTTGTGTTTGAAGTTAGTGCTTACAAGATACAAATGATTATCTGAACAGAACTGTAGGAGACGGTCACCGTTGTCGGTTCGCTGGCACGGAATTCCGTATGTGCCACCAACATTCTTCTCAGATTGACACAATTTCCCTACTTGAGCATTAAAGTCACCAGCTAAAACGACTATATCTGAGCGTCTAGCCTTTCGCAGCAAACTAGACAGCTTTTGGTAGAACTCATCCTTCGTTTCATCCGAACTGCAGTCAGTGGGGGCGTAGGCGGAGATTACGAAAAGGCATCGGCGAGTAGTGCAGTCCTTTCTCCTTTTCACTGATCCGTTCAGGCGGACAGCGCACATTCGGCTATCTACCGGGATCCAGTCAAGTAATGTCTTTTCTGCTCTAGTACTTAAAGCTATCCCAACACCAGCTAATCCTCGTGAGCTAGCCGTCGCATCTCCTGACACCCTCAAGGTGAATTTTGCAGATTCATCCTGTTGGCCAGGTGGGGTTAGGTGAATAACCACACTTGGGTCTTGTATGCGTGTTTCTGAAACACAACATACATCAATGGCTCGGGATGCCAGAGTCTTGGCTAGAGATGCTTGTTGTCCTATTTGGCAGAGTGTCCTAACATTAAATGCTCCTACATAAAATTGGTGGCGTGGTTTTAGGAGACAATCGGTGGTGGCTTTTTGGCTTCCATCGTTATCAGTGCACACAGAGTGAAGGGGAAGTGAAGAGCCAACAAGTAGAGGAGTTGCATTGGTAGAAGGAAGGCAAGATAATAGAGATGAAGATGAAGACAAAGATGAGCGAGGATTAGAGGGGTTTCGCGTGCACTTCGGATTGTGAGGGCGATTGGTACTTCCCGGCTGCCCACACCGTGGAAGTTGGTTGCGTGACCGCAGAGCCCAGGGGACAACTGCTTGAGGCCGGTCACACACGGCCTGTTTTTGTTTGTTCTTTTTTATTTGGTGTGTCTCAGTAGCGTATTTATCACTTCTGCCCTGTGACACGGCAGCAGAAAGCGCGGTCGTTGTTAATCCGGGCCCCGGCCGATCCGGCATGAAATTTTGTGATTTATTTGAAATCATAGGATTGGATTGGGTAACTGCTTTTAGTCTAACTGCTATCCAAACAACCTTTCTGGCATGGTAGGACCTGCAGGAACATAAGTTCCAGCCAGTATAGCTTGTTGGGTCATTGCAGTGTTCAAGCCCGACCACCACGTCAAGGTAGCAGCTTTCGGTCGGGACTATTGAGAGGAGGCGGCTATTGATGAAATTGTGTGTTGACCTGGCGGAAATGCTTTCAGTCGCCCCACGTCTCCGAAACATAGAAGCACTGATTTGACATTAGTGTTGGAAGCCAAACTTCGGTCCCTTTTAAGGTGCTAGTCATGAAAGGGAGAATCGAAAATAATGAAAGTACTTAGACGACCAGCTGCCGTGCACTATCAGTAGGCCATACATGAACCAGCACACTTTTGACACATTCATTTGTGTTGTCGCGAAAACATCTACTTGAGGTTAACAGCATCACAACTCCAAGGACCCGATTGAATGAACCATGAAGACGTTGCTCAGGCGAATATGAGGTTAGACTAGACAACCTGTGGGTGCCCTAATGAATGTTTCTTACCCTATACTCAATGTTTAACTCCTGTGGTCATAGGTGTCAACGAAGCCTATGGTTTAACACGAAACACTTTTGAAGACGACAGTGCTCTCGAAAATTGACTTGTAAGGTTTCCGCGCCTAACAGGATGTACCATGAACTCCAGAGGCACTTATTAGGTGGTCACTCACCAAGGAGTGAAGCGGGATGAGACTAGCAACCAACTTGGCACTATACTTTCCCTATGATTCGTAATTTTCTGTCAGTGAAGGTATCAGAAAAATGTTTTGCTAGCAGAAGATAACTCTGCGGAACTAAAAATACTATTTCGCATGTTTAATAAACAACTCATTTTCAACGCAAGTGGTATTAAAAGTTGGATGGTAAGTCGGAGACTTATTTGTCAACAAATTATAAGCCAGTAAAGCAAGTTAATCACATAGCAGCTTGACCGTTTGATTCTCAGTTAGTTAATATCAGTACAGTACAAAGCTTCCGATAGTACTGGTTTGGTCTTCCGTCAACGAGCACACGTCCAAGCCACGATAGAGACTGCTGCCTCCAACGAACAGTAAACTGATTCGGATAATGAAGTGCACTGAGAGCCTATTCATTGTCCACCATAATTGGCAGGTTTCCTTACCCTACTGAACCTTATTGAAGGGTGAATGCCCTTCCACCTACATGACTGGGTCTCCTCCCTCCACTCGCCCACCAGCACGCTTAATAAATACTTGTTGGTCACAAACTGTTGCCTACGTATTTTGTGTGCTCTCTCGGTAGGGATTGTGGTTGATATTTTGATTTTTCCGAATTGGTTACTAAAGATCAGGCCAGTTTAATAGAAGGAAGAAATTAACATTTTCTAAATTTTTTATTTTTGATTACAGCTTGATTCCACACCATATTTTTGGTACAGGTATGGAATTTTCAGCATGTGATATTGGTAGCCCAAATTTTGCAGGCCGACCATAGATATCAGGTGTGCGTCGGCAGGGGATCGAACTCCAGACCATGTGCATGGTCGGCTAGAGTCCTAACCACTGTGCCACCGACGCATGCTATCAAGCTAGTTGGCCAGGACACGTATTGGGTACCCGAAGGGAACTATGAAGTATAGTCTATTAGGTGTGACTAACGTGGTGTTGAGGGAACATTTGACCTACGCTAATGAACCAACAGACTTCAAGAGGATGCCTTAGATAGTTCACGCTATAGCGCTTAGCTGAGACCTGGTTTCTTTGCTTACCACGTCCTGTTTCCTCTTTTTGTGGCCACCTAGAAGTGGGAGAGAGTGTCTGAAATGAGTTTTAAAGTGGTTGCAGAGAAACTGTAGTGTCACTTACGTCGGCAGGTACGTTCAACGGCGATCTCGTGTCATGATGGACGAACGTGGTAGCATTTGTAAGAGTTTCCACAACCTTCGTGAAGGCGAATTCAACTGCACCAACCCGTTTAGCACACCATTGGCGGCATTAGTGTGTCACAAGCAAGAATGGACTCATAAAGTTCAAAATGCTTTAGACTGATGGAAGATCTGAGTCTGAAAAGTATGTATCTGTGATCGTGAGCAGTTTGTGGTCATCACCATGCAGGTTTGTGGTATGCGCTATAAAAGTATAGATTGATTAGGAGCAGTCAAACGTTGAAATCAGCATTTTAAGGCAATGGCTGTAGGGGCAGAAGTATTTATTTCCCAAACCCGGATCTGGCTTTCGTTGTGGCCTGGGCTAACTTCACTGGGAAACTTTCCATCCCTTTGTTTAACCTTTTGCCAGCGCCAGACGACCAGAACAGTTTATTGCCCGATAACCTAGTGGACACTTAACATGGTTAAAAATGTATAAAAGTAAAATGTCTGCATTACCCTTGTCTTCTGCCGTTACAGGTTTCCGATGGGGGAGACTGAACATATCAATGACTTCTACATTGCAGTTGACCCCAGACTTCTATCCCCAGTAAAATACGTGTTTTGTTTGGGGTTTTCTGACTCAGTCTGTTTGTTGTAAACCATCTATGGTAAGGTCACAATAGTTCATTTGTTATCCTCACTGTTAGTACTAGTATGTTTGGCAATCTGTGTCACTACAGAATGAGGGGCTGATGCCACCAATGACCTTTCAATATCTTATGAAGATTTGGTGTCTTTATTTGGAGCTAAAGACGAACTTCTTTCTTCAAATTATGGCCTGTAACTTGCGAATTTCTCAGAACTAGTTCATCCCTTGATATTATGCAAGGATGTCCCTAACGGTAATTTTCCACACCCCACCTGTCGAGTTCGTTTCAAGATACATGGCCATATCCTGCAGTTCACTAGAACAGTAACAAAGGAGTTCGTGGTTGTCAAAACAGGAAAAGGTGGCCTGGTACTTTTGTTCGTCGGTGGCACAGCGGTTAGAACGCTTGTGGACCACGCACATGGTCTGGGGTTCGATCCCCGGCCTACGTACATCTGATATCAGTCGTCGGCCTGCTAAATTTGGGCTACCGATATCACATGCTGACAAAGGATACTGTGTAGAACCAAGCTGCAATAAAAATTTTGTATAGAAATGAAAATAAACTGGCTCGTGGTTTTCGCCATTTTATCCTGAAAAGTGTAAATCACACGAAACGGGGCTTCTCAATTCTTAGCACATACAACTTTATTTTGAAGTCTTTCGCGAACAGTCTCAAATACTCAAATGTCAGGAAAGTGAAACTATAATTTCAATTTCTTGGTTAGTCTATGCCACTTGCATCTGCCATTCAGCGCGCGATCCGATGCGCGGAATGAATAATGTTTTGGGTTTTCGACATTCCTTGGTTTTACTTCTTCAGATCTTAGCGGATTTTATTGGATTTAAATGACATCATCAGGAGGAATTATCTGGGAGGTTCTTCTTTTGAACAATCTACCTGTGGCGATTTATGACATTACTGCATGTGCGTAAAATATGGTTATGGATGATTTTAAACTTATTTGCCCAATAATTTGTATATGATAGACAGGTGCATTGAAAATTTTGAGGCGTGTGTCAAGTTTTATATTTCTTTTGGTGCTTATTAGGATTATATTTCAGACTTACTTCTGATTTTGTAGAATACCATTAGTTGTATTCTGAAGAATGATCTTTCCATCACTGTTTCTAATCGGCTTTCACAAACCCATGCAGGTTTTGTAAAATGTTCGTCTTGCTTATTCCTTCACAGAATACGTCTATGTGCCTTGCACGATTCTGAATGACAGTCGTCTTTGCAAGAATATCTCATTGATGAGTCACATTTGCCTGACCATTTTACTAGTCTTCTTTTAAGGGTAGACATGATTCCTGCAGATGTCATATAGTAGACCAGCGGCAGATACTTGTGGAATAACTTGAATTTTATAGGAAGAGTCTTTTTGGGAGTTTTAACATGAGGAAACTGGTTGAAAACCGAGATGGGTGGATAGTTTTGTTCGAATGGAGTGCAACATATAAACTCCATTTTCACCAATTCCCCCGTGTTTCACCATGTTCTCATTGACCTAATTTCCCAAATTTTCCTATTTATCGTACGTTGTTTACGAACTAATTCACGTCGATGCGTGTCTTCCATTTTACTCATGTCAATTGCAGAAATATTATACTTTTCCAGTGGAATACTATCTTCGTTTTCCTCCATTTTATCACTATTCATGTAAAAGTTCTTTGACTGGGAATGTTTGCTGTACAGTCGAAATGAACCTAAAATTGTCAGGCTTTTCCCTCTAATTTTACAGCCATTGCTAAGCTTAAGTGTAATTATTTCTTGTAGCAAAAATGTTATTCCAGTTTAAAGCCTAGGCGAACGTGCAGAATTTTAGATTGAGAAGATACCCGAGGCAATGGTTTTTAGGCACATGGTTATATTTGTCAGTGTTTCAATTGCATAAACAAAGCAGCTATAACAACCTCCTTTCACTTGAATAGTAAGTATCTGTAAAGTTTAATAAGTGAATAACTGTAATTCTGTTACATATGCGTAGACGCTTATTCACCTCATCTCTCCTTTCCTCCGACTTTTTCAAACTGTATTGATTTGATAATTTGTAATTGAGAGTAATCTGTGATTTTAAATTACTCAACCAGGACCTTATATTCTAGATTGTTTTGGTAGTATAGTTGTATGATATTAGTTAAAAGTAATGAGTCTGTTGCATTGCTTGGCCCAGTCAGAAAATATAAAGAAAAAATGATTACACCACCTGGTAGTTAAGAGTACCGGATAATTGCTGCACTAAGCCGTGGATACTAGGAAAAATGTTGGGAAAATTGATCATGCTTACTTTTCAATAAAGACATCATACAAATGTTTTTTTAAATATTCGAGGTCATTTAGTGTAAATTACGCGTCTCGAGTTCTAGCAGTTGCCTTACAGGGATTCTCTATCGGATCTTTGGAGATCAGAACAGATTACTTCCTTCTGTCAACGATTTTGCATATCTCATCACTTAGAAAACTCATGTGACCAGTTTTCGAGTTTCGAAATATGATGCACACTTGCAAACTGTATCCGTTTGTTTCTTCTATAGTATTTTTCCACCTAAGATAGTAGAGGAGTTCACGCCTAAATGTGTTTTGTTGCAATCGATCTTCAACTATGTTATTCATCCTTTTCAAATATCTTTGTTTTTAACATTCTCTTTTACGTAATCTGACGGCTTATGCTGGAATATGACAAGAAGTGGCATTGTTGATTGAAGCTACATTCTTATCTTTACCTTAAAATGCATATCAGGCGACTCTTCCTCAGCACTTCGTGATGTGAATTGTGGCTTATTATCCATAAAAATGTTTAGGGTTGTCAGTGTAGTCCTGCAAATTTAATTATTTTACCTTTACTCCTTCAAACTGTATGCTTAGCTTTATATATGACAGCCTGTTACCCTTAACCACAAACATGTCTCCTAAAACGGTGATATGTTGATGGCTGTTTTATGAGGTCTACTTTCGCTAAATATGGACATATGTTTTGTTTTGCTGTGATTAAGTTAGTTCGTTCTATAACGCTCCGATTGAAGACCATGAAACCAGGGACTGGCAAACAGTGAATTTATTATTATTGTTATTAAAAACAAACTTGGTACATTATGGGCACCAAGAGTAATACGACACAGATTATAACATGGTTTTTGCGAAGGCCGGGATACTGTCTGGACACTAACCTAAGCAGGTGGTTGTCTTAAGGAACCATCCGTAACCAGCGTTTGACTTGAAGTCCGATCCACAATGCAGTGGAGCAATACCATGGGCTGCATTCCCATGGTTTCAAATGGCCGAAACAAATTCATACGCCATTTGATCCAGTTAGATTTTGCAGCCCATGTAGATTTGGAATCAGTATTTTCCATCTCTTCTAGGTAGGCCAGCATGTTTACCAGTTCAGTTGTAAGTGACAAACTTTCTAGTTCGCTCTCTTTTGTGAAGAACACCGTTGTCGTGTGAAGACAGTGAATGGGACTTACGTGTAGAGGCAGAGGTAGGGAATGAACGCGTGGTCACATGAGAGCATTTTGAGAGAAATACCGAAGTCTACCCGCTCTCGGCCGTACCGGGTTGTTTCTGGGAATCAATCTATAAATGGGTTCCGGTGTATGGATAGCTGAGACCCAGGATTTATGAGAGCCTTTTAGTGACTGTAAGTAAAAATAATGTTATACATCACCGGTAATAGGATTTTAAGACACTTTTCATCTCTGCAACATGGATTTTTGTCTTTTCTTGCGAACACAATTCATTTTGCGTTTAGTAACTTCGAGTGTTTGTGAAACACCATATGTCTTACCTGATTTTTACTGTTGGGCGAAATGTTTATCAAGTTGGTAACCGTTTACACCACAAAAATTCCAAGATTCGGCTAGAAATAGAATGTGTGAAGTTTAGCTTTTTATGATGTCTCACATAATTATGATTTCTCTTACTATGTTGCCATTATTTTGTGTTGTAGGACATGAGCAGTCAAACAAGGTTGGCAATGAATCATGGTTCTTTAAAGCTGCAGCCGTTTATGGTTAATGGAACAATCAATTTAACACAAGATTTTAGTTTGGTTAAAACAGGCGATGAGTCTAACTTTTATTTATCACCATTACCTGCACCCCTGGCTAATGAAACTACAACTAGCAACAATGCTATCCCAGGGATGCAGGAGATTTTTGACAAGTTGGCATCACGTCCCCATCCTTCTCCCATTTTGGCCGCCACACTTACAAAATTTGGGAATCATGTCGATCTTTGTCAGGAGTCAGTTTCCAACAAGGATGTTTTCAATTCAAGTGCTCCACCTAGTCACAATGGTTCCGATTCATCAAAGAAACTGCAATTCTATCTAAAATCATCACAGATTGAAACCTCTTCGTCTTCTTCACTTATTGATTTAAGTGATTTTCCATCTAGTCCTATATCCGGTGCATTCGCCGACTTTCAGTCACTGAGATATATTCCTTTAAACTTGGACTGTTCATCTTCTGCAAACATTTCACTGTCAACAGCTAATTCAGTACTTGATCAGTGTGTAGATGATAGTGATTGTTTACCGGTCTACAGTAACTGTCCTCCTAATCTTGATGAAGAGGAAACTGATCTGGTCCCAAGTGAACTTGTTCAATTTGTTAGTGAATCTACTCGCCAAATACCGAGTGATTTAACAGATGTTGTTTCTGCAGGAGATTCGGATATTGAAGATTTAGATCATGAAGCCCGTCTAGCCTCTTTGTGTATACCTATTCTTCGCTCGCCTTCACTAGGGCATTCTAATTTACTGGACAATGCACAACCACCAACATTATCACCAGAATCTTCAGGTTGTCCACATTCACCTTTTGATCACATAGATATTTCATCAGATCCCAGTTATGAGAAGTCATATTTTAGCCAAACTCCTGAAGGCACAGTGGAAGATGTAAATAAACAACATGTTCTTTCCCCAAAAATGAATATTATTACCAATGGTGCATTGTCTGATGAGCTTATATCTCGCAATGATACCAATAATCATGATCCATTACTGTCAACAACACACATCAACTCTTCAAATTTCATTTCTAATAGCAGTTCCTTTACATACCAGTCGGATAATCGAACTACAGTGGAAAATTGTTCTAGTTCTGTGATGCATTCTCCTACCTCTGGATTATCTGAAAATAAAATATTACCACCGATCACAGTGTGTAGTCCTTACAAAATTCCTTCATTATCAACAACAACCCTACCACCAAGCTCTGTCTGTGTAAGTCAGATAGGATCTTTTACTCTACCGTCTATTCAGAATCATTTCATATTAAAAGATGTGGTGAACTGTTCTAATTTGAACGTCAGCAACGCTCCTAATTTCCAGTGTATTGTTACGAAGTCAATGCCGGATTCTTCTACAACGACATCTGATGGGACATATAACAATATAGCTAAAACTCCTTCCCTTGTGAATTTAGTATGTTCTAATAATGAAGGAGGAAAACAAGTGAGTTACCGAAATGAATTGCTTAATAGGATGATTGGCTATATATATCCACGACGTTTATTTGGTTTTACTATCATATTCATTGTTGTTAGAATGAGTAAAATAAGTTAAACACGAATAATGTATTCAAGTAAACTCCACAGATTTATTATGATGTGAGCTGGTAAAAGTAAAAAGTGGAGGCAGTAGCCCATTTGGCGTGTTCGACGTAATACTCTCTTGAACTTCTTTTTCTAGATGTTCATTCTATGAGAGTTTGACTCATTTGACATTGAATTCTGTTATAAACCGTCATCAGATGAGGTAGTATCGAAACTGAAGAACACTCAACTGATGTTTCTGACTACTTCAGGTCTCACAATGCTTTAAGGAATCAAGTTCAGTAATTTCAGGTTTTGGGATGAGAACGTGGTTTCCAACGAAAAATGCTGCACTAATCTCATTCATTGTTGTCGCTGAACGTATATCCTTACACCAGATTTTGGTAACTGCATTAGCGACTTTCGTAACTTCCTACTGAAACCTCGGGAAGTCGGTTTGAGTATTAGTCACTAAAGATCAGTTGACTGAATATCCAGATTCTCTATAAAACTTACTGTTTTTATGAGGAAAGTTTTCACGTTCGTTTCAAGTTAGATCATTTAGAGAATCACTGAAAACCAGGGAGTCCTGTACAAATGTTTCGTTGTACGCACACATGACCCCATTGAGATTTAGAACCAGAACCTTCTTGTTACGAAATGATCCTTTGACTAATTGGTCAAGGGGGTTGAAACCAATCAAATCCCTGCAAATTAACACTTGGAGAAAGACATTAGGAAATTTTTATGCTATTTTTCAGAAACGCTATTGTTAAGGATTTATTCAAGTGGAAAGTTATGCTCATGAAAATGTATATCTATAGCATAATATTTAATAGACTGGAAATGGACTGTGAAGTGTTATTCAACAACTCGTTTCACTTAAATGCGTTTGGCTGTGAGTCACACCTGTTGTATTAAGCCAATATTACTGAGCTCCCGATATTTCAATAGGTGGAGTAACTTTTAAACTCGTGACCCACTGGTCGGAGGTCTAGTGCGTAGACTGGTGACTTCCACCTCCATACTCCAGATAAAACGAAACTGTGGTGACACATATATATGTATATATCACTTTGGAAATCGATAATTACTCGATATTCTCGTATTCCTGATGTCTGTCTCCAATGATGGTACAATACTTTGTGCGTTGATTGTCTTTTGTGTACGAGAATAGATTGAGAAATGCTTATAGTTAATCAGTCCAAGACAAGATACTAGCCTTTAAAAAACTCTGACTCAATCTGGGATGTATAGCGTATTGTAGACTGTAGTATTATTTTTTTAAATTTTATTATTCATTTGCGTTCCGAGTGGAACATAGGGCTTCAACAACAGATCTTCACCTTGTCCTACCTTCTGCCGTCCTCTTCAGCTTAGACCACGGTTGACCACTCTCATCTCTTCCTCACACGATCTCCTCCATGTCACCCTAGGACGACCCACTCATCGCTTCACGTTTGGATTCCACTCAAGGGCCTTGTGTGCCATGTCATTCTGTGGCCTCCTCAGTGTATGCCCGATTCATCTCCACTTTCTCCTGCATATTTGTTGAGCGATTGGCTCTTGCCTGTTAGTGTGTTCCCATATTTTCTTGTTGCTTATTCTTTCTGGCCATTTGATCTTCAGTATGGAGCCAGCTAAGGCAGCTGTTGATGAAAGTCTGCCACTAGCTGTTGGAAATCCTTTTCGTGATGTTCAGTGCAAGTTTCCGACACGTATAGAAGGACCGATTTGGCATTAGTATTGAAAATGCGAATCTTGTTCCTTATGTTGAGTGCGGAAGATTTCCAAACTGGTTTTGAGTTGATGAAGGCGTATCTTGCCTTTCTGATTCTGACTTTGACATCTTTGTCCGTCCCGCCAGTAGTTGAAACGATGCTTCCCAGATAAGTCGAGGAAGCAACCTTTGTTAAATCTCTCCCGTTGATGGGGATTGGTGCTGGTTGATCAGTTATCTTCACCTCCGTCTTCTTTATGTTCACCTGCAGTCCTGTTTTCGCTGCCTCTTCAACCAGTTTGTTGGTTTTCGCTTGCAAGTCTTCGAGTTTGTGTGACACTAGACATATATCATCTGTGAAATCCAAATCTTCTAAAGTCTTCTTATCGGTCATCCAGCGTATTCCTGACTCCACGTTCTCAACAGTCTGACGCATAATCCAGTCCACCACAATTAAGAATATCATCGGTAATAATAGGCAGCCTTATCTTACTCCTGTATGCACTTCGAACGCTTCGCTGAGCGAGTTTTCCATTGTGGATCACTTGACACTTGTCATTGTCATATAGCCAGTTGTTGAATGAGGTTGAAAAAGACTTGAGGTACGCCGTAGTATTGAAGTAGTTTCCAAATTACATCTCGGTCAACGCTGCCTGTCGAAGGTCTTTTCGAAGTCGATGAAGTTGAGGTAGAGGTTTGACTGCTATTCTATGCTTTGTTCTGTGATGACGATGCGTAGAGTTACAATTTGATCAGCACATGATTCGTCTTTTCTGAATCCAGCTTGTTCCGATTGGCGGAGTTCTGTATCCAGTGCATCCTTTATTCTCTCCAGGATGGTGCGACTTAGTATTTTACTTGGCGTGGACAAGAGCATGATTCCACACCAGTTTTTGCGTAGGCCTAAGTCGCCCTTCTTTGGCAGTGTGACGAGGTAGCCAGCGTTTCTTCCAATCAGTAGGCACCTTCCCTTCTTTCCAAACTTTTCGCAGTAATGGAGTGAGAACATGTGCCGTAATCTCTGGGGTCGTCTTCAGTGCTTCGGGAGGAACATTGCCTGGTCTTGCTGCCTTCCCAGCCGGCGTTCAGTAGCTTGATTGCATTCAGGATTTCTTCTTTCTTTGGAGGAGTGGTGTCCACTGACAGGCATTTCTGTGTGTGATGTTGGTGGTATTTCTGGGCGAGTTTCCGGTGGTGGTCGATTCAAGAGTCTTTAAAGTGACCAGCCCATTGTTTGATTTGTTTCTCCACCTTGGTGATCAGGTCCCCTTGAGCATCTTTTATTGGTTTCATCATATGGGTTGATCTCTTCCCGGATAGCGATCGACCTGATTATCTGAAGTAGTGTCCTGATGTCTCTTTTGCCTGCAGCCTGTTCTGCTTCAGTTGCCACCGGTGTGTCGTAGAATTGTCGTTTGTCTTTTCTTGCACTCTTCTTCACTTCTTTATTCAGTTCAGTGTACACTGAATCCATCTTCTCCTTCTGTTGTTCATCTTTGCATTGAGTCATCTCTTTCACCGTCCTCCTCTCCTTGATTAGCTCCCAGGTACCCGTTGACAGCCATTCCTTATCTTGTCTCTTCCTTCTTCCTAGAACAGTTGTACACGTTTCCCTTAAATATCGCTTTCAGAGAGTTCCAATGTTCTGCACAGGTTTCCTCAGCGATGCCACGTAGTGTGTCCGACTTTGCTCTGATATCTGTAGCGAAGGCATCCCTTGTAGTTTTGTCCTTCAGTTTCTGTATGTTGAACTTGAATTACAGTGGTCTGTCTCCACTCGTTTTCATGGATTTCAGCTACACCGTGAAAGTTCCTTGAACTAGATGGTGGTCTTAGCCCATGTCTGCTCGACTTTGTGTCCAGCGGGCTGCGTCTCCACTTCCTTGAGATTAAAATGAAATCTGTTTGGTTTGTGGTATGTCCGTCAGGCGAAATCCATGTTGCTTTGTGAATATCCTTGTGTTTGTACACGCCCCCTCCGACCATCGAATCGTTGAAAAAGCAGAAGTCTGCGAACAATTCTCCGTTCTCATTCATTTCGCTGAGCGACAGCCTCTCGACCCATGATGAGTTCTCTTCCTGTATTATCTGATCCCAGTTTGGTTGGCATTCATATTGCCCATGAGGATTTTGATGTCACCATTTGGGACATTGTTCATTACTGTTTGTAGTTGTCTGTAAAAATCCTCCTTCTTTTCTTGTTCCGCGTTGTTTGTAGCACTGCGTAGCATTGGGTTGAATCTTGCTGTCATGATCCTGGATGAAATTGGTTCCCACTACACTAGAGCTTTGGCTGCCACTGGTGACATCATGGTAGCCACTCACTGCCTTTGTGTGTTCGTGGTTGTTGTCTGGGTGACCAAACCTGAGTAGGTTATTGACTCTCCCGTTGACAGTGTTGTCAATCCACATCCATTCCATCTGTTTTCGCAGATACCCAGTACTTCTAAGCCATATCTTCGCGTCTCTGTGGCTACCTGGGCAGCCTTCCCAGTCTCGTACATTGTGTGGACATTCCATGTACCCATTCTTACTCTTGCTTTCATCGAGAGAAAAGACACAACGGCTGGCTGACTGCCTTCCAGAAGGCTTTTACCAGCCCGCTGTGTCCGATTCGAGTGAAGAACAAGACTGTTGTTATTTGAAGTTTTCGTATTTTTAATATTTTTTTCTGTGTGTTGAAGTTTCTCTGGTGGTTTGAAAGATTTAGTGGTGTTGCTATCCCCACGCCCGACCCTCCTTCTTTACCAGGTCTTGGGACTGGCTAGGAAACTAGCGAGCTAGTTAACTAGGCGAGGTTAGACTGTAGTTTAGTGTTTTCCAAATATTATCAACTCCTACCTACAATTAATTAACTTTCCTCCAGTTTTCTACTTTAGTAGGTGTGCTTTTATTTATGTGGAAGTTAACTATGGTCTCCTTGGAGTTATTCATGTTCTTTTTCAGGGTGGGGTGGGGTGGCGGGGTGGTTGCGGTTATTTTGTTCACATTGGTTACTTATAAAAAAGCTTTTGCATTTTTAGTGAAATCATATATGTCCCCTATGTGCATGCTTGTTACATAGACTAAAAACTTTAAGATAGACGGCATCATGCAACAAGTTTTAAGATTACAAGTAGTGTGTGGTTTAGACTAGTGTTTTGAAGCTCTTAGTGAATTCTAATATGGGTTAACTAAAAAATCTCGTATTTTTCTGCATTCTCCATAATATAATTGATGTTATTCTTTTTCAAAATTTTAGTTAATATTTCCATCGAAATCTGATCGAACAGAAAGCCTTGATTTCAGCGTTGTGCAGAATTACAATCGAGAAACAACACAATACTCTGAACAAATAATAAAAACACTCCCTCAATCAAATATTCGTGATTCATCTCTCATTCCAAATCTTAGGTTTACTACCATAATTGGATCTAACTCTCAAAACACACCATTAGCAGCTACACCATCTCGAAGTATTTCATCCATCTCTACATTTGATCAAAACCTGTCATCTAATATTGAGCAAGAGTCAATTTGTGAACCCAATAAAGGCGTGAAACAGTTAATTGTTTCATCTGAAATAAGATCCCTGATCACGACCTCCAGTGACCATCCTTTTGCATCTACTGTCTCTACTGTTTCTTGTCCTACAGGCAATACTAGTTATATTGAAGTTGGCACTCCATATCGTTCCAAAGAAGGAAGTTGTGTTGCTCAGAACCCGTTGATATTATCGACTCCAACTTTTCAGATTGCACCGCATCCTGTTAGCACACAATCTACATTTGTTGTCTCGCATGCAGTTACTCCTGGTGTCGTCTCCCATGCAGAACTCCAGCCAACTACTCCAATTGTTTTATCTCTTAAAAGTAGACCATCTGTTGAAGTTCCGCAGCCACAGGTTACTAACTTAACTAGCAGTTCTGGTTGTGTCCTATTACCGTTACAAATCTTAAACTCCTTGCCCACTGTAAACCCCGGAATGTCTATATTACTAAATATTAAGAATGGAAATCCTGTCCGACAGAATCCCACACCTTGTCTTCCAAATTTTGCATCAATGAATACTTTATCAGATAAGAGTTGTCCTATTACACCGGAAACAAACGGGACAGTTTTTCTTCTCCCAACATCTAATATTGTTACAAATCTTAATGGAAATGTTTCTAATATCCCGATTTTACAACTTCCCTCTCAACAACAGTATGTTAATTTTCTCCCTTCTACATTCACTACTCCACTGTTATCAAATTCAAGTATATCATCTCCTTTACAGAATTCACCTACATTAGTAAATAGTTTTAATACACCTCAAGTGGATATTAAACAATCAATTCCTGGGCAGTTACCTTCTGGAACACAATTTTTTATTCTTCGCTCAGCCTCTAAATCGAATATTATTAATCCTGCATATTTTACTCCTACTTCATCATCATCACCATCGTCGTTGTTGTTGTCTTCTTCTTCTTCAGCACCGGCATCATCATCAACAACAACTATAAATACAGTAAATGGAGCAGCATTCACTCCTTTGTCTGCTTCATCCACTGGTTTAACTGTAGTCTTAGCTAATCCTTCTAGTCATAAAAATCCTTCAGAATCAGGGAATCTAGTTTTTCTTCCAACAGCTTCTACCAGATCAAATATTTTTCCGTTATGTACAAATAATACTTTAACATCTAACTTTTCAACAACTTCTTCTGGTTTTATAACAGCAGCAGAAGGAGTACCACTAGCAGCAGCAGCAAAAACAACAACCTTATCATGGACTCCTGTATCGAATTTCACTAATCATGATAGTAATAGGCTAGTTAATAATAATAATAATAATTCTACTACTGCAATTACTTCATCTAATACTAAAACATCGACATCATCGACTTTAAATTATCAATCATCAGTAGATAATTTAAATGATACATCCTTTTCTCTACCATTAACTTTATTACCTAATATTCCACAGCAAACTATGATTTTGTCATCTTCATCGTGGAATACACATTCACCAAATAATAATAACAATAATAGTGGTAGTAATGTATTCACAACATCACAAAGTTTCAATACTCATGCATTTCTCTCCCCTGCAACGACATTATCATCCTCGTCGATGTCTTCCTCTTCGTGTATGTCATTTGATAATAATTCTTTACCTTCACCGCCTATTTCCTATTCAAATGTTAGTGTAGAGACGTCAAAATCGAATCAATCAGTAAATTCTAGTCCAACTGTTAATCATTGTTTACTTCCTCCAGTCTCTGCATTATCATCTCCTATTAATCCTAATAATAATAACAACAACAACAATAACAATAAGGATTATGCAAACAGTAAAGTTGGCATTTCCACTTTAACATTATCAAACAATCAACAAAATGAGACAAAAACAAATGTTATAGTTTTACCTTCTGCGGATAAACTACTTTCTTCGCGTAATTATTCACAAATCTCTAGTGTAACAGCACAAACTAATAATAATAATAACAAGCTACAAGAGTCGAAATGTCGACGTATATCTTCTTATTCTTCGCCTAATACACCTTCCATTCCATCGACTACAGTAACTGTTTCTACTACTACGACAGCAGCAGCAGCAGCATTAATGCAAACTGTTGTGACATCGTCTAAAACTGTAGTCACCTGTTGTTCAAGACGCAGACATCAATGTCCGTATTGTCCAAAATCTTGTGAAAGAAAAGATAATCTTCAAGCTCATATTCGTACACATACTGGAGAACGACCATATCCGTGTCGTTATTGTCCGAAAGCATTTCCACAGAAAGATCATTTACGAGCTCATATTCGTACGCATACAGGTGAAAAACCCTATAGATGTCCACAGTGTTTAAAAGCATTTGCTCAACTGGGTAATCTTCATCGTCATGTTAAAACTCATCGTCGATAAGAAAAAACATTTTCTATTCAGTTGAGAAATGGGTATGTTTAACTAGTGTGTGTGTTTTTTTTCCTTCGATTTATATTATTATTATTGTTTCCTTTAATTCCTAGAGGAACATAGGGCATCTCCATTGCGTTCGGTTCTCTGCTAGAATCTTCACCTGGCTCCAAGTCTGCCCACAGATTTTCATCTCTTCTTCACATGACCTCCTCCAAGTCACCCTTGGACGATCAACTCGTCGCTTCCCTTTCGGGTTCCACTCGAGGGCTTGTCTAGTGATGTCACTTGATGGTTTCCTAAGAGTATGGCCAATCCATCTCCATTTCTTCCTGCCTATTTGTTTCACAATCGGTTCCTCCCAGAGATCTCTGTTGCTGATCTTTTCTGGCCATCTGATCTTGAGTAGTATTGAGCGAAGAGAACTGTTAATGAAGGTCTGTAGTTTGTTTGAGATGCTCTTTATGACGCGCCAAGTCTCTGATCCGTGTAGTAAGTAGCAGTGACTTCACATTGGAGTTGAAAATCCGGATCTTATTATCATTTTGATGCTGAGTGCTGTTGACCTCCACACAGACTTGAGAGTAGTGAAAGCTTGTCTTGCTTTTCCGATTCTTGCTTTGATATCCTCGTCAGTTCCGCCTGTAGTTGAAACGATGCTTCCCAGGTAGGTAAAAGAGGTTGTTTCTTTCAGTGTTAATCGATTTATAGACTTTGCATAATGCTATTAATACCATTCGCATTGTATCAGTGAAACGCTTGTAGCTTTTTTGTAGCAGTTATTTCTTATTGTATGTCAATCTTACGATGTTAGTCAAGGTATCTTGCAAAGTGATGCAGAGGATTTGTACCTGAGATAGGTACTTTCAGTTTAACTGTGTTCATTTTCAAATTAAGTTAGTACTAAACATGTTGTTTAGAAGAACAATGAAAGTTTTGTAGTTGGACGGTCTAGCTCAGGTAGCATAACAACACTGAAAAAATTATGTCAGTTGCTTTTTGAGGAAGTTGACAGTCAGCTGAGTTAAGGTGGTAAATCTACTGTTGAAATTGTTCGTCGGTGGCACAGTGGTCGAATGCTTGTCAACCACGCAGGTGGTTCAGAGTTCAATCCCCGACCGACGTACCCCCTTACCTCGCTAAGCTGGTAATAACACTGATAAAGAAGGAAGGTTGGGCATGAGGCTAGCAACCCCATCCCGTAAAAATAAACACCACTGCTACCGAAACTTCAAGTCTCTAGCGAGAGGCCTATGTTCCGCTGGGAACGTTAAGGAATAAATAATAATAATACTATTGAAATTGAAGAAGGTGGTTTTATCTTGAAGATAAATATAATGATGGTCAGTCTGGAGTGTGTACCAGTTATACATGTGAAGCAAAAGCAATAAGTAGAAAAAAATTGTATAAGCTGAGCTATCCTGTTCTTATTCAAACTATTCAACATTTTTTATGACTTCCTGTTTAAGCAGTACCGACTAAAACTTTTGTGACTTTACTGAAGTTATGAGGCATTGAAATACACCCAAATCTTCGTTTATAATAATAATTTATAATAATAATAATAATAATGATAATCGCCTTATTATTTTAAACAGTACATTTGACGTTTATGACACTGGCTAGCGCTATGTGCTATGCCTATCGCGAATTGGCAGAAGTTGAAATTCATGGGCTGGCCGTTGGATCTGGTCCCAGTGGCTGAATAGTCTGCGAGATCGCCTTGTAACTGGAAGGTCTTGAGTTCGAATCCCTTAGTCCCAAACTAGAGCAAAACAGCTGTCCAGCACTCCAAGGTTTTCCTGTAGTTCTCTAACTGATGTCAACTCACGAACAAACTTGTAAACAATCAAATCTCTGCAAACCAGTATTTGGTAATGTGGAATTCTCTGCATGAAAAGCAGTAGAATTCTAGAATTCAAGCTATAGAGAAATTATTACGATTATTTATTATTATTCCCTTGGGTTCCAACTATTTATTATTAGTAAGACGCAAAATTTGTACATCATGGGCACCAGGGAACGCACCATACAAACTCTCATAAGTTGTGCGAGGACGGAGATACTTCTCCGGAGCTCAGACCGAAGCAGGCGGTTATCTTAAGGGACCACACCTCGAGCCTTTGACTTGAAATCTTACCCACACGGTGGTGGAGCAGTGTCAGGAGCTGCTTTCCCATGGTTTTCAGTGACGAAAAGGAGCTCATACACCATTCGGCTCAGTCGAATTCTGGAACCTATGTACACCATAAGTTTGGAATCAGGATTTTCCATCTCTCCTAGGTAGGCCAGCATGTTTACCAGTCTGGTTGCAGGTGACAAACTTTCTAGTTCGCCCTCTCTCTTTTGTGAGGAACATCGTTTTCGTGTGAAGACAGTGAATGGGACTTACGTGTAGAGGTAGAGGTAGGGTATGAACGCGTGGTCACATGAGAGGATTTCGAGAGAAAGACCGAAGTCTACCCGCTCTCGGCCGTACCGGGTCGTTTCTGGGGGCTCCGTATAGAATATAGGGCTTCATTGCTACATTTCTATTCCATCTGGTTCTCTGCAGTCTTTATTGGCTGGCTCCACAATTGCCGGTAAACTTTCATTTTCTCACAACACGATCTCCTCCATTTCACTCTCGGACGCCCAACTCGTCTTTTTCCATTGGGGTTTCACCCCAAGGTTCTTAAGCGTGATGTCACCCAACGCTTATCTCGGTGTATGTCGAATGTGTTTCCATTCCCTTCTGCTTAGTTGGCTGGTTGCCTGAGTTCCTTGTTGCTGATTCTTTCTGTCCTGCCCATTTGATCTTCAATACAAAACGAAAGCAGCTGGTGATGCTATTATTTAATATGATTGACTTAAAACAATAATCTCTCTTTCAATGTAAACTAAATCAAATTGAACTAAAGTCATAGTTATCATGTTGTGTGCTACCTGGTGTATTTATCGTGTGAAACAATTGAACAATAATAATCCTTATTTCTTAACTGACTAATTAAGAGAAAATTGATAAGTCATGTCATCTTTTCGTCTTATTTTAATTTTCTATGTATACATAAAACAAACTGACCGATTGACAACTGTGACTAGTAAATCAACTCGGTACTCTATACAAAAGTTAATTAGTTCACTTCACTTCATTTAGAGATACCTCACAAAAAAGGGAAAAGGATAGGAATAAAGTAGTATAGTATCATGGTTAAATATGACTGAGAGGGAGCGAATAGTTAGATGGAGATCGGTGAAGGTATGCAGAATTCCTAAGATGATAACACGCGTGGCACGGGATTCGATTCCCAGCCGACAGATTCTTAAACTTCACTTAGCCAGTAATAAACCAGGTGAAGAGGGAAGGATGGAAGTGAGGCTAGGAACCCAACCCCGTGGAAAAAAATCAAATACCACTTCTACTGAGACTTCAATAGCCTAAGCTCGAAACCCTGTGTTCCACTCGGAAAGCGAAGGAATAAAAAAAGGATGAAAATGAGTGAATATATCGATGCTATTGTGAGTAATTTTGAATCATGTCAGTAGGATTCTTGGACAGTTGGTCCGTAGGGATCTCAAGGTCCCTACTGAAGCAGCTTAAATCATTTTACGTGGTTTTGAACAAAAATGCAGTTATAGGCTTATAGGTTAGCTCCACATTTCGATTGTGCACAATGCTGTGTGATCACTATCGTTAACCTAATTTCCAGTTGAATGTTCACTCTTTGCTTGATATTTTTTGAAGCATTAAATGAATTGTATATTCGTAGCTTGAATTGTATTTATTGTGTTCTAAAGTAAACACATTAACTTTATTCCTCACGATAAACTACTGTTTGATTTTATTTACTGAAATACTTGATAGTAGTATATGATATATGTTGTTTTTAGAAGTTGTATACTTTGAGTTTCATAGTTTTAAAGTATACTATTAAAACTGATAACTATAAGTTGATATAATGAGATAGTCAGGAAAGCTAATTTCTTCACTCTTTATTGTGTTTTAGTTTCAATTTTTCTCGAACATACATTTCTTTTTCGTATTTTGACTTTTTCCTTATTAATTTTTGATCACATTATCTGTTTGTATCAAATGTACTTCCCAACTTTGACGATCGCGATAGATCTTTACAGTAGTTAGTTCTGAAAGAGGTGTGATTTCTTTTAGTTAGTGAGATTTTAGTGACATATAAAAATGGGAAGACGTTCAGCGAAGAGCGACTCTTTTCAGCGAATTCATTCACATAGCTGTACAATCGTATTTATATGCAATTATTGTTGTGCGTGTGTGTACATGAGGCTTGTCAAGTTTAGATAATTAATTGGGCTATACAAGAATGATCTAATATAGAAAGAAGGTTAATTAGACAGCGACTAAAGTAAGATTGAGTTAGTAAGTTAGATTACGTAATATAATTGACTAAAATGTTTCAACTTAGGTCAGGATAGCAATAGGGGTAATTACAGATAGAGACTAAGTAGAGGTGGGGTTATAGAATAGTGCCCTTTAAATTAGGACTAAAATAGAGCAAATAAATTGGATGACGTAACATAAATGATTAGAAATTGAGCGTTGGACAAGTCAGTAACAGTGGTAGTGAGGTGTAGAAATTAAATCGGGTGGGGGTAGAGAACAGGAAGGTTGAAAATGTAAAATATTACAATTGTAAAGACAAAATAATACTAATGAAGAGACAGAAAAAAAAGTAGAATTTACCTGTCGGGTATTAAGATAGATTACTTCCATTGCAAGTGTAGTGATTGAATGAACTTCTTCTGTATGCAGAGTTCAGGACTTAGCAAGTGAATTGCCATTGCTTCTGCAGTTTGAAGAAGTTTGATTCGCACACCTTTAGGAAGGCTGCTCCGTATTCTGTAGACGACTTTGAAGTTTGTTTGGGGGTGTAGCTTGGTGTCCGACATCTATCAGATGTTCTAAAGTATAGCTGCTGGGGCATTGATTTTCTGCTTTGTAAAACTACTATGGTAAGGGTTCGGTGAAACGTTTGGATAGCGAACGCTGGGTGCGGCCGATATAACTGGCTCCACACGAGTAGATGAA